TTCAAAAAATTTGTTCAAGGAAGAACATCAAGCATTTCCACCTGTCCTTTCTTGAAATAAAAAAGCAATAGATCTTTTTTTGAAAGTTGTATGGAGGACTGCTCTTCGTAATCAGGGCGTGTTTGCCACAGATTAGTATCCAGTCAGATAAGCTATGTATTCATTTGTTTTGACACGTTTTTTTCGTATTTTATCAATTGACTGCTGTTTTTTGTCAAGTGTGGCAATGAATAAGCAAAACGCTGAGCTTCGAACTTTACCCTAACCCGCTTTCTGGGCACCGTGCACCTGATCCATTGCTCTACATAGATAAGGTCCATCCCTTGCTAAGTATTTTGCCGCATCTCGCCATGCCTGTGGCTCTACGTCATCAATTCCTACTCAGAAAAATCCAGGGGCTTTAATATGTCTCAATCCTAGCAGATGGCTTGTCCAGCAAGCCGGTGTTCGATATAATGGATTTAGTTTCAACCACGTTCTAGTTCAGCAACTTTAGGAAGCGAAACACGCTGCCGATATAGGTGATCTAGAAATCGTTTATTGGTAGCTAATGCTTTAGACCCCATGAGTCTGGTATCTGAAGGCATGCTGATCTCTATCTTTTTAACGACACCATTTATACCAAAGTGCGTTCGTTTCAGAAACTCAAAGAGCTTATTACTTTGTGTGGGGGCACGTGCTGTGACAAACCATGGGAGCTTGTCAGCTTCAAGATCGCATATACAATCTTCATGTCGAATTCAACAGAATGGGACGCCGCTCGTCGATATGAAGCTAGCATGAATGGTGTGCCTGTGAGTCAAACTTCTTGTATCCGATTGATATCAGTGGCTAATTTTCGATTTGAACATTTTTAAGGTGCTTGTTGCGGACTGGATATTGGATTCGATTGCAGAGTTTCGTGTCAAGCCTATAGAACCGTATAAAATCCAACGAAAGCATTGAAGGCAACAACTACTCAGTTCTGACAAACTGAGGAAAGGATAAGTTCAGGATTTAGCGAGTTTCGCTCATCTTCTTTTTCTCATTACCTCAGTCTTCCGCTTTCTGGTCCAACTCTGTTTTCAAGCTGAAGCCGAATTTAAGTTTTGCAAATAATTTTTTGTTCAGAGCAGGTTTTTGGTTGTGGGTTTGTTCAGGTTTTTGATGTGTTCTCTTCACTGTATCCTCGTTATCCCAGGGTGCCTTCATAACTCCTTTGGCTGACGACTGTTGACCAACTGATCCCACTCAATCGATTAGTCGTATCAGGCCTAAACTCACCTCGAGGTGCTCCAATTTGTCTTTTTATCTTTGCTCCTTCGTTGATCAGTTGCTGTCAAGTTGTCCGTCCAGGCTAAGCTTTGCCTTTCACAGAATGATTGATTAATGAATTTGATGCAGTGGGAGCCTTGTATGTTGCTTCCTTATCACAGCAGAAATAGCTGAATTTGAAGGTACAATTCACGATAAAAATGGTGAAGGACACTGTCCAGTCCCAAAAAAAACTCAACAGCTAGGGCATAGTGGGAGCCCCGTTACCGGTTCGCCCGCACTTCCCTCCCCTTGATAGATGTTACGTCAGACGAGTGTCGAGGTGATACAGATTGCAATATTCGCGCTATTCGTGCTAGGTCCCTCACATTGAGCACGCAATCAGCTGATAGGATTTTTGTTAGTTTTGCTTATAAGTGAATGAATTGTGGCCTACCATGGTCAGCTATTTGCACTAGGACCCACACGTACGCAATGACACACATTGTATAGCTCGTCCAAACGCCCCATTCTTCCTCCTTTTTGTGGTCTAATTCTCGTCCAGCCACCTTTTTAACGATTTTCGAAGACTTTTTTCTTTTTGGAAACACCGATACACGCAGCTCCTTCACCTCCAACGCACTAATTTCCATCTTGTCTTCCATTTTTCGTCATAATCTGGATTAACCAAAATTATCATGAACTGTGCCTTCAACAGTATACTGAGTGTTAACAGTTAAACAGCGACTGATAGGCTAAAGAGCAAGTTTGAACAGACTCTGTGGACTGGTGCAGCGTGAGCTGCAGCATGCGTGCTCATTTGACGCTGGGTTTCAGTTGTCGAGCTTCGGCAGGTGAAGGTTTGAAAGCAATCATTACGATCTACACATTTTATAAATTAAAGAGTTATGTATCAAAAAATCATTCAAATAATTTTTTTTGGTGTTGTAAAGCTTGATAGTTGTCTTCTACATTTTCATGCTTTTGTTATGTATCTGAAAGCAGGGTTGCGCGAAATAAACTTCTAAATAGGAAAACAGTAAGACCACCTGAATTATCCTATAAATAATTTTCTTGGTTTTGCACAGATCTGCCAGATCACCATCTTGTTCTAAACGGTAATTGGTATTAGACTAGCTCTGAATTGCGTTCTGCTCCTGCTCCTCTTCCTTTCGCCATGTTCTGTTCATAGTGTAAATATTTTCTGAAGAAACATTGTTGTTCACTCACTGTAAAGAGTTATCTTACTAAGAAAGAATCCTCGTTAGCGAATGAAAGCTTTTTTAATAGTATATTTCATGATCTTCTATGCTTACAAGCTTGCCCTTTGTCGGTGGTTGTAGCTTGTTTGGAGAGGATCATCAAGCAGACAAGTAGTAGATGAATCATTAGGTACACAGGGTAGTGGGCAGTTCCGTCGTGAACTCTACCTAATATCTTCTATACTAATTGAGATAGCTGGATTATGGTGTATAGTTAGTATCATTCCTCTGAGCCTGAGGGAGTCCCTAATGAAGGAACGTTGAATGGGGCAGCTCGGGATAGGTTAAGAGGCATAACAAGCTTCCCGAAGTGAGTAATGAGATGTCAATATGTACTTTCAATGTACGGACGCTTTTATCGTAAGCGTGTGTTGAAGATCTGGTGATGCAAGATAGTGAGTTCAAGTACGACTCCATCGGACTGACCGAGATTTGAAATCGTCGCCCGCTGGCCGCTGTTTTTGAAAGCGCCGAGGGACTGTTTTTGGACTATGCAGCAGTGAAGGCGTTGGTGGTATAGGTGATCTCGTTAATACGCACTTAGCCGAAAAAATCGATTCGTACGAAAGCTTGGAAACCCGAACCGATTTGCTGTAGTGAAGATGTCGCTCAATTCCAATTTTAAAGTCATGTTGCCTATGCATCGCACCAATCAAGGAAGAGGAGTTGGAAACATTTTATATGGACGTTTAAAGGCACGTCAGAGGTACTACACTGTCTTCAGGGTCATCGTCGCTGATTTCAAAGCCAAGAATGGCTCTAGAAGAACGGCTAAAGGTTGGAGAAGACCACTGATGCTCGAACCGAACGTCTGCGTTGGAAGAACTGTACGTGCGGAATGAAATGGATAGGTTGTCTGGTTTTGTCATGTCGACGTACACCATCCTCGCTAATTTACAGTTGCCTTTTCATCAACTTCGGACTTGAGAGTCACCTGGCGGACAGTCCCATGATGAAATAGTTCCACATCGTTTTCAATCAAAAGTTTTGCATGGCTGACGTCAGTGTTATTCCGAATCTGTACACGGGATCGGACCATCGTTTCCTACGCGCTAGGTTCTGCTTTTCAGTGCGTGGAGAGAGAGCTGTGAAGTTCAGGAGCTAAAAGTCTTGAAAGCGCCATCATTTGGGATCACCTCGCTTCTCTTGCGCATTTGGAGGAATCCCGTTGTGGAACTCGATGAAGACTTTCACCGGCTCGTCGAACATCTCACGATGGTAAAAGGTAACCAGAGAGATATTAACAAAACTTTATTAGGCTGACGTTTCGGTGCTTTCACCTTCCTCGGAGCCTGGAAAGACAAAAGACATTAAAGACATTTGAAAAACCATCCGATCAAGCACTATTTCAATCTACAAAGAAAGCTCAAA